GTACATTACTATACATGCTAGATAGAGAGAACATACATTACAGCTAGCACACGCAGAACATTTCAGTACATACAGGCTAGACAGAGAAAGATTACACTTTCAATTAGCACATGCATTACATATACATTCATGCAATTATGTGAACCATTGAGCGGGTCATGGCATTTCCTGCCACGACCGATTTTGTATCCCGAATCTCCTTAATTGGAGAGCATATGAGTTTCCGTATAGATCTATACTGAATTGACTATCCTATACCTTGTTTCTCGCTACAGTGGGACTTGAAATTCTATGGGTGCCAAATATCATTTCTTAAGGCGTCTTAAATGATCGTTTTACTAGAGTCGGTAGCAGGATACAGGTCGATCAATTGTTAATTGGAACACCTTTTGTTTTAAGGTAGTTAGTACCATGGTAGTCACTTATTACATATACTACGGTACGATAATGTTTTCCCATTACATTCACTTCGTGAATATTCACACGATGCACGGTAATGTAGAAACTATATTTTGGTTAATGATAGTCAGAATTAGGAAAACACACACTCTAACAAGAGACATACACACATACACCGGATGCCTTGGTAGAAGGCTACAGTCAGTAGGAAACATAGGGTTTTCTATGAGAGTTCAAACATTATACCAAACATCTTTCAAACGTTTTCATACAAAATCAGGCATTAATATACGTATGATCTCACCAACATTAAGCTGATACTCGCTTTCAAAATAACTTGTATTTTCTGGTCACCACTAGATAGGTACAGGTGCCAGGATTTTGAGAAGATGGAGTTCGTTCAAGACTCATCTTTTATTTTGATATGTATATTTTTGGTGTCTATAACTTTGACAGAACACACATGTATGAAATTATATTATTAATGCAATGGATGATGTTGTTGCTTGTTTACTACTATTCATTGTTGTGATACTATACATGATGTCCTCTGCCCCAGAATGTTTCCGCCATTCATGGTTTTAGGGTGTGATAGTTTACATTCACTACTACATTTAACCGGAAGGGAAGCTGCTGGGGTGAAACTCTATTCCTTCTCTATAATGAACGAATTTAAAACTATATTTTCATTACTGACATTTTCACGAGAAGACTATTACATTTTCAAAGAAACAAACTTACCAATAACCTAGTCTTGGTAAAATACTACTTTTGCTGGAAAATATGGGATTTTCTAGGAATCAAACTACTTTCAAATTTTAATAACAACTATTTCACTACATGATTGTAAACATTTTTATACAAGCAATGCCACTAAATACTTATGAACTCACCAGCTTTATGTTGATACTCGTTTTCAAAATAACTTGTATTCTCAGGTCAACAATAAACAGGTACGAATGCCACTTTTGGGAAGATGGAGCACATATAAGACTCATCTTTTATTTTGATTATACTTTTGGTGTCTATTGTACAGAACACGTTTGTACTACAATCACTATACTAATTAAATGGATGTTGTTGCTTGTCTTTACTATTATGCGTTGTTATGATATTGCACATGATGTCCTCCACCCTAGAACGTATTCCGCCGTTCTCGGTTTTGGGGTGTGACAATGTGTTTGTTGGTGTTACAGAGCATTGCTCACTAGTACTCAGTGGGGACTATGCCAACATCATAGAAATAGTGGACAAGGTTGTAGGTGATAAGAAAGATGAACTTATTGTTTGTATATGCATAATATGTGATAAGGATGATTATTAGCAACTTATTTGTCTCTGTTGTAAAAGCTTAGATCTTGAAAATTTTATGCGTAATCGTGTTTATGACATGAGTTTTGAACTTTTGATGTATATGCATCAGTGGGAGTTGTTGTGTTCGTGGTTTCAATCATCATTAACATTTATAAGTTTCTTAAGAAGAGGAAAATTAATTTTCTGGTAAATCAACATTTAGTAAGGTTGTTTGATCATTCGTCGTTTGCACGTTCCAAACCAGAGACTAGGATTTTCTCCCTTTAATATCTAGGAATTAAAGTTGAGGGTATTATTGTAAAAACACAGTATTTTCTGTGGATGAATCACTGCCCTTTCGATTATGTGCAAAACAATATCCGGTTGTTAACCTATCACAGTTACATAAACTATTAACTCTCGATTATCAATGAGACTCAAATTAACATAGAGCTTTGTGATTTGAACCCGGTAAAATTTGAAAAAAAAACATATAAATATAACCAAGAAAAGTCCATATCCTGACAATCTATTTTGTTCCTATTAGTGCCATCAAATCCCTATTATTAACACCAAGATCCTAAGGCCATGGGGTATGGTCACAAGGTATTCACTAGAAAAGTGATGTCACATATGCACCACATCATCCCACTTACAAATTCACTACATGTTTACTAATCATTGGAAATGGTTATCACTCCACAATGTTTTTTTTTACATTATGTTAAATAAAAAACACAATAAAACATTAATAAAAAACACATTAATAAAAATAAAAATAATATTTTTAAATTCAACATCCATGCTTACTAATAAAATAAACATTGATAAACATAAAAGTGATATTTTTAAAATTTAACGTACATTTTACTAATAACATAAAAATTAATAAAAAACATTGAAAAAAAAACTACTCGTTTGCATCGTTGTCCTCATCGTCTTCGTCCTCATCCACTTCGTTTTCGTCTTCAAATTATCGTTGCCATATGTGTTCTGTCAAATCTTGACGTAAATTGTGATGTGTTTCACTATTCTGTATTTCCAAAAGCCTTGTAAAGTATGCTGGGCTGCCGACTTGTATTACTGCAGGTGGATTTAGCATATCATTCGGAGTATACGTACAAACAGCCCTACCCTCTTCTTCTAAGATCATGTTATGTAAAATAACACACACTTTCATGACCTTCATCAATATTTCCCTTTCCCATGCTCGTGCTAGATATTTGATTATGTGCTACTTCTGTTTGAGGACCCCAAACGCTCGCTCCACATCCTTCCTTGCAGATTCTTGTGCTAATTTGAACAATTTCCTTTTTTCGTCAATTGGATATGTGTATGACTTGACAAATGTAGCATATATCCATGATTGTATTCACGTCCATTAATAACGTATGGCATATTTGGTGCTTTACCCTGCAAAAGATCGTTAAATAATGGAGATGCTCCAAGCATATTCAGGTCATTTTTTGACACTGTCATACCAAAAAATGCATGTCAAAACCAGAGGTCTTGTGAAACAACAACTTCTAGTATAACAGTAGGCACACCATGATCACCTCGTGTGAATTGCCCTCGCCATGCATTGGGACAATTTTCCCACACCCAATGTGTACAATCAATGCTACCTAGTATTCCTGGAAATCCATGTTTAGCCTGATGTGTGGCATACAACTATTTGACATCATTTCTGGTCGGATTTCACAAGTATATGTCGCCATAAAGCTCTATTACATACTCACAAAAAAGATATGTGCATTCTCGACCGGTCCTCGCAGACATCTTCAAATATTCATCTGAAGCGCCTGCGGCTATACCATACGCTAATTGTCTAAGAGCTGCTGTGCATTTTTGAAACGTAGTAAACCCACGTTTACCCCTAGCATCCCATCTGAATTGGAAGAACTCATAATTGTTTTCAAAATCTGTAGCTATACGTAGAAATAAATTTCTACTAATACGAAAGCGATCCTCAAACTTCGATAGGTCATATAAACTATCAATGTTAAAGTAATAACGTACCAAAAGTTCATTCGCCACCTCTCAATCCCGATTGATGGACTTTCTTCGTTTATTCTCGACATTTGAAGTTTCGCCTCTTTGACGTTCAATGTCGTGTGCCGCAGACAACAATGTGTGCATAACCAACTCATCATCATTGGAATCTTCATCAGATGATTAAGACGAAGAAATGACATCTAAAAAATTATTCATATTCTTGTTGTTGTGTGATTTTTGAGTAGTTGTTATAAAATATATGATATGTATTATGTTTGTATATATAGGTGAGGTTTTAGTTTTGAATTTTTTTTTTTTGAATTAATGTTAAAGGTCAAAAAAATCAACCAATCAAATCAAATTGTGTGTGACGACCAGTGAACCGTTCCAATCCGCGTCATATTCACCGGTAGGGGTGACGGTGTTCACGCGTGAATACCCACTTACACGTCATCCATTACGCGTCAAAACTTACCTCATACCCCATGGCCTAATTAAGGTATTTTGATAGGATGAATTTACATTGTTTTCCAAAAACACAGGTTATAAATATTTAATTATAGGCTAACTTCTATTAAAAATGTTTATAGGGTAGCGAAGGATGTCAATTTAGCAACACCCTAAATTTAATGGTAGATGCCCTTATAAAACAAATATGCCTAAAATACAATCAAAGATATGGTATGTGTGACACTTAACTTACATAATCTGAAATAATCAATTAAAATTCGGAAAATGTGATTAATGTTTTTTTTTCAATCATCGTGTGTTTATATTACAAAAAATGCTCCTTTTTATTATTGAATAGTTATCACAATTTCATGTGTATCATTTTGCTTGTTCAAATTTTACCAGTACTCAGTATTCGTTATAAAGTTTTCAGAGATTATTTTTTGCTCATCGAAGTCAATTCATTTACATGAATTGCAAAAAACTCCTATTTTCCTTTTAATTTTACACATATTTCGGTTACACAATTGTAAATTCGTATTCTAATTTCTCATTAAAAATTTGTTGGTCACTCGCTCTATTTTCTTCTTATTTGTCTTATTCACCACATATGTATAATCGCTTGACATCTTCCCTTCTCATTTATCACAATATATATGTTACAAATAAAAGATAAGGGCCATTAATTAATCTAAAAGGGCCAACAATACAATAACATCTAACATAACTAAAGTTAATTACCTAGTGAACATTTACATTAACACTATTGGGAACCATTACAAATAAATACTAAAGCATCCACTCCTATTTAAAACAACTCTTCATTTTCGGTAAACCGGATTTTCTCCGGTTTTAAACAACGTATGGCCTTCTCCTTCGCTCCTTTGCCTTTATCTCACCCTGAAGAGATACACCATGACCTTTCTCCGTTTATACTTATCCATAAAACTGGTCGTATTGAACGACTAGTCGGAGAAGAGACCACCCCTCCCTCAACCGATCACACCACCGGAGTTCGCTCAAAAGATGTCCAAATCTCACCGGAAACAGGCCTCTCCGCCAGGATCTACTTGCCAGGAGCTATTACCTCCAAGAACATAAACTCCCTGTCCTTATTTACTTCCACGGTGGTGGTTTCGTTGTTGGAACAGCCTTCAGCGCCATGTTCCAACCCTTCCTTAACAGACTTACTTTGGAAGCACAAACCATTATCGTTTCTGTTGATTACAGAAGCGCCCCTGAACATCTCTATCCAGCTCAATACGATGATTCTTGGGAAGCCATCAAATGGGCTGCTTTTCATGCAACAACAAATGGCACGGAGCCATGGCTTAATGACTATGCTGATTTTGAACGTCTGTTCTTTGGTGGGGAAAGTGCTGGTGCAAACATAGCTCACCAAATGGGGATGAGGATTGGGTTAGGAAAAGATTTGGATGCTTTTGGTGATCGAGTGAAGCTTTCTGGGATTATCTTGATTGATCCGTACTTCTGGGGAGAAACACTAATTGGTGGTGAGGTGAAGGCTGATGTTAAGGAAAGAAATATCATAGAAAAACTATGGCGGGTAATGAACCCATCATTTAGCAGTTTGGATGACCCGTTAATAAACCCGTCAAAAGACCCGACTCTATGGATGTTAGGGTGTAAAAAGGTACTTGTTTCTGTGGCTGAGAAAGATTTGTTGAGGGATAGAGGACGCTACTATTATGAAGTTCTGGGGAAAAGTGGATGGAATGGGCGAGTAGATATAATTAAAGCCAAAGGAGAGGGACATGCTTTCCATTTGTTTACACCTTTTCGTGAAAACGCAACGACTTTGTTCAAGAGTATGTTTTCTTTCATCAATGGGGACGAGTAAGTGTATGGACAGAGTGGTTATAACATGTTTTAATCCTAGTAAATAAATGAGTGGTAAAAACATGTCTATGAATAAGGGTGTGTTCCTTTTAGATTTTGTTTTTCCATGGAGTTTGTATATGCTCAAAATTACTTTTGGAAGCCATATAATAAATAAAAGAGACTAAATGAAATATATTTCGATTATGCTCAATGAATATTTATATATAGTCTCGTTCAGGTGATTATTTAAAAAACGGTATGTTCGCATTCGACCCATGTCCTTGGTAAATAATACAGACTTTAAGGTTTAATCACGTGTCACCAACGTTAATTAAACATAATTTAAGTGAGTTTTACTATTTATTATTTTCGTTTATTTTGATTTATTTTATTTTATTTTGTTTTCATTAAAAAAATATATTTAAATAGATATATGCTCGGTTTTAATGTTTTTTATTTTTTTTATTTTTCTTTCGTTTTTATTTTTTTTCGCTTTCTTTTTATTTTTTACGTTGTTATTTAAAAAAAAAAATCTTTTTTTTTTCCGTTTTTTAATATCTTTACTTCATCTTTGAAGATACTAGTATTTATTTATTTATTTATTATTTTTTTAATTTTTAAATTTTTTTAAACTAAATGTCCGATTTGAGTTTTTTAATGTTTAACAATTATAAAATTTTAAATAAGAAGAATATTAATCATCATAATTTTTTTTGTTGATAGTTTTTTCAAACATATCATTTTTAGATCCTAAAATTTTCAAACATAGTATTTTGAACCATAATATTTTGAATCAAATCATTTTTTAATCATATGATTTTGGATCAATGATATATTCAATTAAATATAGTTTTTTTTTCTAAAAGAAAATTAAGGACCATTATATATTTTGAATCATTTAATTTTTTATAATAAAACATATAATTAAGGATTATAAAATAGTTTAGTCTAAATATTTATAGATCATAACAAACTAAAGATCATAAATAGTTAAATCAAAAGTTTTTTTTAATCATGATATTTTGTATCAACACATTTTACATCATACTATGTTTAACATTTTTTTAAAAAAATTAATGTTTCTTAAAATTAAAAATAAATACTTCAAAAACTTATTTTTGGAAATTCTTTTTACAAAATCACTAGTATATTAAATAGAAGCATCTTTTAAATTTTTATGATTTTTAGAGATTTTTTTTTGGGTTTTTTATTAAAAAAATTCAAATTTTCATGAATGTGCAAATTTTGTAGAGAATTAAATTTTAAAAACTTTGGTTTCTTCAATATTTCAAAAAAAAAAGTTATGGCAAAAAAAACGAGATAGGTAGAAAAAACCCACTAAATGAGGGTTTGACATGTGGTAAAGAGAGAAAATATGATGAGGGGAAGGGGGAGGGGTTTTGAAAATTGATGTTGGAGGGTTTTTTTTGTCTTTTTTTTTTCTCCTTTTTACCCATTTAACCTCCAAACATTTAACATTTGCTTGAAATGTCAAAATCTCACATATAAATAAAAAATGTCATATCATATTACAAGATATTAACGATAAATAAAATCAAATCTACACCTTTAAAATTTTCAAATTTGCAGCAAAGATTTATCCCCGTAGTCTTCACTTATTTTTGAGTCACCATTCGGTCCTCTCTCTCTCTCTCTCTCTCTCTCTCTCTCTCTCTATATATATATATATATATATATATATATATATATATATATATATATATATATATATATATATATATGGGGTAAGGGTTATTGTAGAACCAACATAAACTCATAGAACTATAAAACTCTATTTATAACCGTAAGATTATTATATTGATTGATAAGATTAAGTGGGTACAACATAAAAATATACACTTTTGCCTATCGAATAAAAAACAACGCAAAGGTATGATGGAGATAATAGGTTTTGTTTCCAACTAATTCATAATTTCAACACATAAAAAAGTTTAATAAAAGGAAATAAATTAATGATGTTGCACACTTTTTCCTCCTCACAACCCTACAGAGAAATCAACGAAATTCATCTCCCACTCATTCCTTATATGAACAAACATCGACAACCAACAATAAACACTTTCCTTCTATCGATCCGAGAATCTTCATCTACTCATAAAACACCAGAGAAACCAGATTCATTCTCACTCATTCCTCAACATAACTCATCTTCCACTGATTCCTCAATATGCCCCTCCTTGCCACATTTATGACTCCCGGTTCCTCCATGGCAACGACCCTCATGAGCCTTTCCACACTTATTACAACTGCATCACCCTTCTGTCCCCAGTCTTCGAATGAGTGGGCTTGAACCACTTTGTGGTTGGATGAGACTAAACTTGAGTCTGCATTTTCTCTTTTTTCAAAGTCTCCAACTAAATCTTTCTCTACCTGGCATGCGACAACAACTCTTCTTAGGTTTTGGTACTAGGTGATTGACGTAAACTCCTTGATCTCGGTCTTAAGTATACCCAAGTAACATGATATATGAACATGCTCCGAGGATGCATACTATGGGTTAAACAAATCCCTCTCGGTGAACATCTTGGTGATCTCAGTCACCAACTTTGTCGTCTACTTCAGCAACAAGTACTCTTGATCCAGTCACTCCCTTTCTACCAGTGGAACATGTCGTCTACTTCAGCGACAAGTACTACTGATCCAATCACTCCCTTTCTACCAATGGGACATATTATTTCATGAACATTTCAAAAAACTGCTCCTAGGTCATTGCGCTCTTCTCAACGGGTAAACGATCTTTTGAGACCAAGTTCCACTAGTCTTTCACTCTGCAATGAAGAAGATTATGTGTGTGTGTGTGTGTATATATATATATATATGTGTGTGTGTGTGTGTGTATATATATGTATATATATATATGTATATACATATATATATATATATGAACTTCAGGTTATCTAGACAAGCACAAGTATAGAAACATCTCTCAACATCCGAAATCCATCTCATAGAAACAATTGGTTCGTTGACAACGTCAAACTATGAGGGTTTTGTATTATTGAACTCAAGGTACGAGATTACCTTATTTCCTTGCAATCTAGCAGCAAAAACAACAGCAACGGCTACGATGGTCGCAATATTAGCGACACAAGCATATCACTCATCGAACATGTTGATCAACTCTGTCTTGATAGTCCCAAACATTTCCAGAATCATTATCCTTACTATCGTACATACCTCAGCAACTATCAAATCATGAGTATCGGTCTCACTCGGACCTAATTCGTCCGATCCCGCTCCAGAACCAGAACCGCTGAATCTAGTCATCACCATACTAAAGATATAAAAGAGAAAATATTAATACATAATCATAGAATTATCTCATGATATCCAAACCATTACCAGTTCCTTGGAAACCTTGTGGCATTTCCTGATTCCTGTTTAGATCGTGTGCTTCCGGTAGTATAGGTCATATTACCTTTCACACCTATCCGTACTAGTTCCAAGAATTTTCATACTGTATCCAATCACTATACTCAACTATTGCTTGGCCTCATCTCACACCTAGTATTAAAAGATCCCAACATTAAAGTTTTCTAAAACATTCCTTCTAAGATTCCCTCAACTCACATCTCTAGTACCATGTAAAAGTCTCTGCTAACATCTTGTGTATGCAAGTCATATGTAATGTAGGATTGGATGAACGATTAGATAAATGACTCTACTATAAGTCCACAACCAAATAAGGATCAAGAACTAAAGTTGAATCAAGCATTCTAAGGCTATAGAATCCCAGTTATGTATAATTCTATAGTATACACTCAATAATTATATAATATCAGCACAAGTTTCAAGTAGCACATAATTAGCAATTTCGTAGGCTACGAGACATCATATCAGGAAATTTTAGCATGTAATTCCTGAAAAGATCTTTAGCCTCCATTTTAGCATTCATTTTTAATAGGTCATATATCAGTAGATATAGCATTTATAGATGTGTTGGGAATCACTTTCATTTGTTAGCTTCGTCTGATTGTACGCATCACATCCTTTTTCTTTGTATTAAAATCACTATCCAAAATGTTTGTAAAATCCTTAGTTCCTTAGTTTCAGTTTGAAATCACACGAGTTTTCATCCAAATCCCTTAAACATGAGCTATGATACCAATTTCTAACATCCCGATTTTCAAACATATTTTTTCATTTTTAAAACATAATAGAATAACTCCAAAACTCTTTTACATTAAAAGATCATAGGTTTACATTTAGTACACATAAATACCATATACCGCATTATATATACATTACATATATATATATATATATAATATATATATATATATATATATATATAATTCATACAAAAAATGTTGTTCAACACTAAGTTGGTCCGTCCGAGTGTGTTAGCCTTTAGCATAAAGTTGCACCACCCTCACAATATGACATGTCGATATATATAAAAAACAAAAAAATCAACATTTCAACATAACAGGCAACTTATTATACTAGTCTACTTTCCTAACAACTCTCTACAACATAACAACATCCTAACATACATAGGACACATACTACAACACATAATATAGTGAGAAAACTCACTTGAATAATTTCAATGCGGCTAAGTAGGTTGCCTTACAGACGACTAAACCAACACACAACCTATAATATATTATTCTGGTTAGTGACTATTTGAGCATAATAGCTAAATATTTAGATCATTCACCAATCCTAAATTAATATAATTTTATGGCTATCAAATAACGATCAACCAGTCAGCACAGTCGGAAGAGAAAGACCATTTCGATATATAGCTTTTTCTGAAATCCAAGAACTAGGCCAACATGTCTATCCTAGGCACCTCTCCCGTAAGTAGACCAATCACCACATAACTGGAATTAGTGACTAATCAGGCTCTTATAGGGTTCATAACACCAACTAAGGGTATACTCAATTATAAATAGAAGTAAGTGTAACTTAATTATTCTAGGGAATTCTGAATATCAGTGGAAAAACTTCAAAAATAATTTTTGTAACACACCAAAAATACGAGCCAAAAAT